CATGGGATGCCACCAAGGAAGCGGAGGACAAATGCTAGCTAAGGTACCACATTACTAATAGCACTCCCCCTTTTTCAACAGAAAACACAACTTCCAAAAGGCATTTGCATGTGCTAGAGCAAAGACCTTTTTTTTTTACCTTGTACCCCTTCCCAGACTTCCATACCTATAAACATAGGATGGAATAGTCCGATAAACAAAGCGACAGTTGTAAGACCGTAGGCATGCTTGGTTGCTCATCGCCACAGAAGATTGGAGTAGTCTCCCTCGACGGCCTGGGAATGGTGCAAAGTGTCCCCTCACGATGCCAAAATGGTGCTTGAATATGTAGAAGTGAACATAGTTAAGTGGACTGAGTCAAATGCAAGTATTGTACATAGATTTTACCAAGTATTTGACAAATGATGTGAACCTGAAAGCACTGTTTTAAAACAATGGGTTGCAAAATTTACACAGTACAAAGCAAAGTTTTCCTATATGATGGATGGTAAGCAATGTTTATATAAAATGGGTTTTTGTGCACCATGCCCAATTAACACACACTGACCACGTAACTTTTTTTTTTCCCCACTTTGGAATGCAGACATTTTCGAGGCCTCTGGAAGACATTTCTAATTTGCCATACAGTACTGTATTTAATTTTGATATTTAAATTTTGTTCAAAATGCATCTCTTGCACAAGCCCATCCTCCGGTTTTGGTAGTACAGTACTTATTGGAAGGATGGCGACCATAGTACAGTACATGTACTGACATACAACACAGTTAGAAAGTAGAAACAGTACTATTTATTTTGGACAAACTGGGAAAACTATTTTTTTACTTATGTTGTAAAGACAAACTAACCTAACATTCCTACGCATATTACATGCTATCCGAGGCCTGATATAGTACACTATCTGCTATACTAGGCCTAGGAATATTTGTTTTTTAGCTTCATTTTTTGGGGGATTATGCAGTGAATAGTACCAAGTTCTATATAATTGCTTAGTACGTCAATGTTTATACTATCTAAACAGGAGGATGGGTTACTTGCACATGTATATATGGAGTGGGACCCTCAGTAAGTTTTATATACAACTGAATAGTAAAATACCAAACCGACACCAAGATTTTGGTTAATACTGTACTACAATACCAACTATAAATACAAAAAAATAGAAATTACATTTTTTATTTATATTGTAAAACTGTAAAGCAATATGAAAGCCTTTTGATTTTAATACTGTATTGAAATTATTAAACTTGTGTTCAATTATTTCATCTTCACAAACATACATATTTAAATTCACAAGGAAAAATAAGTGTACTTTCACATACCATCAAATGACAGCATAATATAATTAGATATGGAAGAGGTTCTTGATTAGATACTTTATATTTAACTATCTCACCTTAACCTAGCACCAACGCTGATTATTCACCCTTCACCTCTATTGCACATACAGCTTAAGTGATTGACATTATTAAATTTTCATATACAGTACATAACTATTTTCATTAATTAATTCTCTAAACACAAAAACCTTATGATAAATTGCAATTTCCTGAGATTCATGAAAATATTTAAATCGAAGCTCTGAACATGTTATGAGGGAAGGAAAGAGGGGAAAGAAAGGCTAGTGTTGCTTTTCTTTCAAGTTTAAATACAAAAACACTACACTAATTATATTTGGAAGCTAAAATAACCATTAGTATTAACCAGTTTACGAGCTGTATGAATGACATCCATTCTAAGTTCCACCCCTCCCAGTTTCCTGTATTATGTCACTTTCCTTGACTATGTAAACCATTAGCAAACGAAAGAGAACACAGTACTGTATAGTACAAAACTCACGGCACTATATCTTTTTCCCCGTATGACATTAACTTGCACAAAGAAATCGCATCAATGTTATTTATCAATGAGAAAATCGGTAAGAACCATGAGCATTTTTCTCACTGATATCACAATGCAATTTGTGTGCAGTTGAAGAAAAGCATTTGAGGTGGAACTTTCAGACCACACCCAGAGTGCATTGTGGAGGGGGGAAGGGGCAATGTGAGAAAACCCTAACCTGGCTTCAGTTGAATCCCAGGTTGCTAGCTTTTACCCATGTTGTGGTGTAGTGGTTTTAAGGCATGTGCTAGGGAATACTCAAGAGTATAAGTTTGAATCCTCCTCATGGATCCTACAGATTTTTTCACAAATTAATTTACTAAGATGGAATCAAGTCCATAAATGTTATTTACAAGAATAAAATACAGTACTGTGTATGCTTCTCTTCTGTAATTTACCAACAAGGAAATAACAGATTACACATACAGTACCTAGAAATATGCAGCAAGTTCCAAAATTTAAAAAGTACACCTACTGTACTTACAGTAAAAAATAACAGCTATCAACTTGATTTGTTGAGTTAAGTGCAGTTATCAATTGCACTAAAGTGTTTAGGCCTAAGATTAAGAAAAAGCATTGGGGGGAAATTTAGTGCAAATTATTTATAGGTTTAGCAAGATAATAAAATATGTTTACCTTGGTATTTTGATGGTCTACACACTGTAAAGATGTGCAGTTTTCCAACACAAAATAAGGATTAGATAAAATTATACATGAATTATAGTAGAGGTATTCCTTAAAACTGATATTATGATTGAACCAAAATTTGATCTAACTGTGCATACATTTTGAATTTTAAGTTCTAATTATGGAATGTACATAAATGAAATGAATGCTTAAATTATCCCCCCCCCCCAAACCCACAAGAAACATTTTAATGACTTGACAGTACAAACTTTCTTCAAATTGTTACAGTATACAGAGAATACATCTTCCAGGAAGTATTACAAATAATGTGTACGATCACACTTGCAAGTTTATCCCATTTTTAATGTAACAAAAGATACTCAAGTTAGAGCCCACTACAGCTACTTCTTGAAACTCTTGCAGCAGTTGCCCCCCCGTAAGAGAGGTTACCACTCTTCCCTATGTTATACAAGATATTCAGTTATCACCCCCAACACTTCCAGGAAATTAATATTTCATTCACCTGGGCTCTAGGAGACTTGGCCTGCGAACCCCACACGTGAGAGGCCGAAGTTCTATCGACTGGGCTATTCGGTTATATGACGTGGGCGATGATCAATTCATCCGAGCTTCAGTAATAGTTTGGGAAAGTTGAAAAATCCAGTTTGGCAGCTGTAAGTAAGTAATTATCAAAAGAAGGCACCAAACCGGGAAGGCTATGTAGCACCATCAAATACGCAAAATAATCAGAGGGCGCTAAATATCACCAAGGATGCCAATAAGAGAACAAAAACGCATAAGGCGAACGATATCAAAAGTATCCGAGTCACCAAGAATTCTATCGAGGGACAGGTGACCACGAGGGGCGGTCGGAAAGCAAGACACACGCTCGTCCTGGAAGTCAGGACACTTAAGAAGGACATGCACGACCGTAAGAGGGACAATGCAACTAGGACAATAAGGAGCAGGGCGGCGCTCCATCAAGTGACCATGGGTTAAGCGAGTATGGCCAATACGCAACCTCACCAGAGCTGTTTCCCACCGCCGGTGACGGTGGAAGGAGGACGGCCATGAGGACACACAACATTTAAGAGTACGTAGCTTGTTACCAGTAACAGACAACCAAGAAGCCTGCCAACGGGTAAGGACTGAGGAATGGATAACCGGGTAAAAGACGGAATGCCTTTACGAGAGATGGAACAAGAGCGGACAGCTTCCTTGGCGGCAGCATCCGCACGCTCATTTAAAGACACACCAATATGGCTGGGAACCCAACAAAACTCAACCGACTTAAATTTACTGTGAACGAGAAACAGCCAATGCTGGATCTCGACAACTACTGGATGAACCGGATTAAAGGACCCGAGAGCCATGAGGGCACTACGAGAGTCAACAACAACTACAAAGGAAGACTGACAACGAGAAAGCAGGAGACGAAGAGCATAGAGAATAGCATAAAGTTCCGCTGTAAAGATGCTAGTCTCTGGAGGCAAGCGACACATATAAGTGCAATCAGGAAAAACAACAGAGTAGCCAACACCGTCCGCTGACTTAGACCCATCGGTGAAGACAGAAACGGAGCGGGAGTGAGAAGAAAAGTGCTCGAGGAAAAGGCGTTTTAGAACCGTAGGAGGGGTAAAAGCTTTAGTGATACGTTTGGCAGCTGTAGTTGCTTCTGGAATCTTTCCTTATTAAATTAAGACTACTCAATAGCTCAGTTGATTGGGCTTCGACTTCACACGTCCGAGGTTCGAGTCTATTAGAGCCCAAGTGAATGCAATGCAAGATATTCTAATGCAGAATTGGTACGAGACTTTAGCTAATCATCCTCAAAGTAATGCAATGACAATAGAGTAATACATCAATTAAATATATCTTTGTGACATGCATATATTGTAATGGAAAATGTGGCATATTTAATATTGCTAACTATTCCAAGCAGTAAATAAAAATGTTACCCATGAAATGTTTTTTTGCCCATCAACATTTTAAACTGTAAATGTAAACATTTTCCTTGTGATCAGTTCTGCTTTGTTGTTATACAGCCATCCTGTTTTGGTAGTACTTAAAGTAATGATGAAGACCATAGTACCTGTGTATGTGTGTATATTATATATATATATATATTATATATATATATTATATATATATATTATATATATATTTTATATATATACACCGACGTACAACAAAATTAGAAAGTAGAAGTCTGAACTATCAAGTTGGACAAACTGGAAAACTATCTTTACAGTACTAGCATTGCTGTGACAGACTAACCTAATCTAATCTCCCTAGTACTAATACAGTACATTGTGTTATAGTAGGCCTAGGAATGTGTGTTTTAGCTTCATTTTTTAAAGAATTCCTTACTAGTCAGCAGTATACTACCTAGAAGACAAGTACGTATGAATTCGTGACTACTGATGATTGTCACAGTAGGTACCATCTAAACAGGAGGATGGGTTGTGTTATAACACTTAATACAAACTCTTCTGGTTACATAATTAATGTTATTTTATGAAAAACACACATTTTTTACATGTTATGAAAAATATAAAAATCTTTTGCTACTCTACATTTTGCATATTTAACATGATCAAATAACAACTATATTATATCAAAGTTAAAACAATATGAACACGAGTTATTAATACTATACGAACATTACATCAGATAACAACAGCCGTTGCTGTGAAGTCCGATTATTACACGTTATGCTTTCTAAGGAAGTCAATTGGTTGTCTTGGGTTACCTGTGGAAGCACCAGCACAAGAGCAAACCAAGTACAGTAGAACCATTTTCCTAACCTACCATTCCCACATTCAGATACTCTGCAGTGGTGCTTAATATTGTGCAACCTTTTCTCTGTCATTTTAATAAATACTCCAGTACATTTCCTCCCCACCCCCCTCCTTTTATTTTTTCCCACTTCTGCACATCTATTGTTTCTTGCCTAATTTCTAACTCATGTTCCTGCTATGGAAAATCCTCTTCCTTTGCACACATGCTTATTAATGCAAATGGTGACTGCTTATGTGTTGCGTAGTGAAATTAGCATGTAGAACCCCCAACAAAAGCTGCACAATGCTTTATAAGTACATAAACTATATTAAGAACATTTATCTATAAAAAAATAAACATTACACCTAAAGTGAAAACCATACCATTATGTTCATGTGAGGGCATTAGATTTAGTGCCCCCACAATAATGCCAACAACAATAAACAATACTGCATTCATAAAGACCACCACAGAATTCAGAGAAAACACCATTAATAGTGTTCAAGAAATGTGTATAGTACTGTACTTCATTCATAATGATGTATTGCCAAGAATCTTAGCCAAATACCCGAAGTTTGCTTACTGTAGGGCCAGCATGCACACGACTGTAAAGCTGCCGCTCAGTTGCGTGGGTGTGGAGCAAGACTAGTAACTTTAATCGACACTGTGTAAATGTAAACTGCCTTTTAGGACTACTGTGGGCCACTTCTAAATCACACATGGTATAAAACGACAAGTGATAAATGTATATGTGTACAGTATGTGTATGTGTACTTACTGTATATAATTATTGTGTGCGATAATTTTTTTTTAACTATCCCCACAGATTGTTACTTGCTTGGCTAAATGAAGTGTGGGGGTAACCCATTATGTATTTCTATCCTTTCCACCACCACCACCCACAAGATGAGTAAGGAATGCATAATAAATGAAAAATTAAAAAACAGTACATAGGCACCAGGGAGTTGGGCAACTTTGTGAGCTGCACCCTGGAAAAGGTCAGCAGTTGGTCTATAAAGACCTCAATAAGCCAAAGTACAGGCTCCCTGTCCCTAACAAGAAAAAAATGTAATAGAAATACAGTACTGTAATCAGTATTTTACGAGTCTGCCAGAAATTTAACATTCAGACTGCACAAGTATTAAATATATAATTCATGTTGGATATGCATTACCTGCAAATTAAACCGTTTGCTTTAGGTTCCCATTTAACCTTCTTCAAAGAAAATTTGTTTTCCATACTACTATTCTTCCCTGTACACATTCTCACTGCCACCAACTATGCAGTCTGGTAAATATTCAAAAGCCCATCATATCCTCATACAGTACTGCTAATGAAGAATCAATTTCTCTCCAATTTATCAACTTGTCTATGGAAACTGTATGTATAAGTACTTCTGGCAAGAAACCATCATTTCCAACATATTAGAAATAATGATCGTAACTATTCATTCCAATATGGACATCAGTTACCACTTTATTGCAATGAATCTCAAATCCATTTTGTATTTATGATGTTTTTGTTCTATTTATCCTTTATTTACACAAATTTTAAGGGGAAGTCTAAACATTAGTAGCATCAATTACATTTATATGCTCTACTTAGCTTTTCAAAAGTGCTAACACCCTGCCATTTGAACAAACTTTAAGGCCCATTAATATTTCAAGCAAATTATATGGCGGAATAAAGGCTTAACTACAGTATAATGATTCCAAGGGGTAAAGAAGTAACTAATATAGAGGTATAGTTATGTGTACAAATCTTACTCATCTTCATTGTCTGATAAGGTGTCATCATCAGAATCCAAATCTGAAGAATCTGATGACGATTCTTTATCCGAATCTTCGCTTGAATCATCATCATCATCACTAGAATCACTGCTGTCTGATGAGGATGGGGAGTCATCAGTGTCTTCACTATCACTGTCACTACTAGAAGAATCGCTATCACTCAAATGAGATAACCCTTCTCTGTTTGAGAGAAGGGCAGCCCTCTGCACTGGAGCCTCTTCATTGTCATTCCCTTTTAAAGCTGCCCCATTTTCAATGATGGTCAATCCACCAAAGCCTGTAACCAAGTTGTTGACGTTTTCTGTGGATGACAGAGCATCATTTTCTTCCTCTTCCAAAACATAATGGGCAGCAACTTCCAGATCTTCCAAGTCAAGGCATACATCACTCTTGTTCACTTTCACCTGAAAGATGGTTTTAACAAACAAATTAATTTGGAAGCTGTAACTATCAAGACTAATATTCTGTGCATTTATATAATTACATACCATACGGAGTACCTTGAAGTTTCAATGCTGAACTTTTATTGCAAGAACCGTGGCCATGGAATTAGATACTCATTAAATTTAAGAACAAGAAACAAACGTCCTCATACTACTTGCATGTATTTAAGTCCACAGGACTTTCTGAATCAAAGCATTTATCAAAAGACACTAAGCCAGAATGGCCATAAACCACATTTTCACTTCAAAATAATGCATGTATAGTATGTTGACTATAGTGTATAGTATGTCTGCTTTAAATGTGTAACAGCCTAGTGAAGTTTGAAACCAATTATATTTGTTTATTAAACAAAAATTAATTTCATATAGTAATATTGTGTGTGAACCATACAAATGGAATATGTAACCATCACATTATAACAGGTAAATCTATTGTATAAACATAAAAAATACTGTAGATTTTCTAATCATACCTTACTCCACAAAAACAGGATAGATACAATTCTGAGAAGTTAAGAGTAATTTTTCTTAAATTCACATCTTTAATACCGTCATTTTACACAAGATGTAGCAGAACTTATTACAATTCAATGCTTAGTCTTATCTTGTGTGATACAGTAATTTGTACATTACTCGTTTGGAATTTTATACCAACTTTTATATGCAACCATTTGTATTAAAATCACACATGTTATTTAACACTGAAATATTTGTTTGTGCAATTTTAACTAATTTTATCATGATTAATACTACAAAATAAGAGCTGAAAATTGAAGTTTCTGCCTCACTAAAGTGCAAATGAAGACAATTGTTAAGTAAATAATACACTGGAGTTACATGCACACATTAATGTAGAGTGAAAACATTAATTTTAGTCTATTAAACCACATTCATACACTCTACATATGGTAGGGTCTGGAAGTTACCAAAATACTGCCCTTGGAAATATAACTATGTACAAAAAAATGTACCTAGAAATTTTAACACAAATTTAAAAATGTATTGAAAGGATAATATACAAAATGCATGTTGCTGTAAATTTAGACATGTCTGTGTGCCCATGATAAGTTTCAAGTCTATACAAAGGTGTTGTGATCAAGATTTCACATACATGTCTTGTCTATTCCGCACCAATTTTCATTCACTACTGCTGGAAACTTGCCTTCAAACTTTTATCTATCCTACTCTGACTCCCAAAGCTGTGCAAGACCTCTCAAAAAACGTTCTAGTTACTGTATCGCCTCCCAATGCCCTTGACCTAATAATGCTCAAAACAAAATTTACCTTTTTCAAAGAATCTGCAAGACTCATTAGCTTGTTATCTTTTACTTTTTGTATCCAAACACAATAATCTGTGATGTACAACTGGTTGAGTAAGTATCTTGGTTCTGAAAGGTTGAAGAACCTCTGGATTTCCAATAAGCACTTCAGAACTTTCTTGTGCCCTAAGGAGACATGTCTTAGTTGTAAACTTAATGCAGGTTTATATTTTAGAAATACTAGTATATATCAAAATCTGTTTACACTTTTCACCTCAAAATTATTTCATATACCAGGTTACTGTAACAGTAAAAACTAGCAGGTTTCAACTGTAAATGAAGAGCATCTTGCTCATCTTACCTAATGACAGAATCTGTGACGTATCTTTCAGAACCTCCTCGGATAGAAGCCAATTTCTCACTAAAGGGAATACGAGAGATCGACGCACACTGTTGATGGCAACATCTTTCAGGTGGTTGAAAGACTGAGAAATTTCAAAACCTTTTCAGTAGCCGAATGGAACACATTTTTAAAACATTAACATTAAATAAAATTTCCATTTTTAATGATATTTGAGTAACACATTATTTCTAGTGTACAGTATTCTGCTGTGGACAACTGCTGGAGTGCTGCTTGTTTATTCATGAGTTATGTCAATGATCAGGTGAATAAAAAGAGCCAATAAAAAAGTAAACATTATTCACAATACTGTACTGTATTTTTTTTCCTCCAGGCTAATGTATTAATGTATTCTCACTAATTTAAGTGAGAACTGGGGGTAATGATAAAAAAAAAAAAATGAATGAATTCTGAAAACTGTTTACATTTACAGTATAATTCTCAGTTGTACTTCATTAAATATAATCAGACATGGATATAATAAAAACTACACTACATATAATCTTCATCAAATATTTGAATTTAAAATAAACATCTGACAATTTAAAATAGCTTAAAAAAGAAAGACCAATACTTACATCTAACCAAGACAGAGTTGAGCTTAACTTGGCAACATTCCATGCAGATTCTGCACAATTTTCTCCAAGGGTGACTCGATGATTATAGCACCAGGCATACACAATATCCACAAGTTCCAGGTATACCACAGACTTGGCTTCTTTATCCAAAAGGTGTTCCTTACGAGGCAATTTTAACAAGTCCTCCTTGTCTTCATCACTAAGCTCCACTACAGGGACAAAAATTAAGTTATGAAGCTATTGTAGAAAAGATATCAATATTGATAATGAAGTACTGTATTGTAAACAGTATGCAGACAAATTAAAAAAAAAAAAAAATGTACCTGTAATTGGCAGCAAAAAATTTCTGCATAGAATAAAATAAACAAAACAAAGCCTCGTAATGAAATGAGAGAACATCAAAATATTGTAGCTAGGAACCTTTCTTTTTGAAACAATATAGATTAAAGGTTAACATTTAAAAGGTTAAAAGGTTAATATTTCAACCTTTTTAAAATTAACATTCGAGGTGAAAATCAAAATTATGGACAAACAGAATGGTACAGAGGCAGGTACAGAGACAAACATCAAAAGACTTTATAACAATCCTGACCAACTGCAACTAAATCACATGCTACTGTATAATGAACGACTATTAATTTTCCCAAATCCAAATCTAGCCTCAAGCCTCATGCAGGCATCCATGGATCAAATTTAGTTGAAGCTTGAGTCTAACCTCTGATTGACCTTAGTACAACCAACCAAATCAAACAACCACTTCATTATGAACCTGTAACCATTTAATTCTCTTCATGTCAACCACTTTCTTTGATTATCATCAGGCTTACATATTTTGACAAGCAAATGGGAAAAGAAAGCCTGCTAGATTTACCAAGGTATGCACCTCTGCAAACACCTGATCTTTTGCAGGATGCAACCCACAACAGTTGCCCAACTCCTGGTAAGAATTTATTGCTAGATGAATCAAGGCATCAAGTAGGAAAACATGCTCAAAATTAGTCATGCATGGTAATCAAAGCCCCCACCATTCGAAAGCAAGGTGCCTTTCTTCCTCCAAGCAAATTCTTGCCTTAAGAATCTTGGGTTGCTTCTGACAATAACTCATTATGTTAAGAAATTTAGAAAATATCATAATTTAGAAAGTATCCCAGAGTTTGATGTAATGAAATGCCTCATTCTGGTTGGGCCTTAATGGCTTCCTGTGAGATTGCTCCACACAAGAGTTGCATCAGCCGTAGGAGTCCTTTATAGACTACTGGAGATCAGACTCGTACCTGGTTCACTCAAAGCGGTGTGGAAAGTGAGAGATTCTTACAATCACCCTCACACGGGAAACATCCAGAAAGTAAACGAAGCAAAGCAGACAATTGTATCGTTAACAAAGAAACAAGAAGTGAAGCAGCAAATGACTCTACAAAAGATTCACTTGGTAATCAGTTCAAACACCCTCTAGATACATCTGACCACTGCTAGGTGGCAGCACCATTGGAAGCCGACTATTTCCTTGATAACACACCTAAAGACCATGAACTGATGCACCTGGTAAGGGAAGGGGAATGGAGTGAATCGGGGAGCCAACGAAGCCCAACCAAAATGAGGCATTTCATTACATTCAATGCTTGTGTTTTGGAAAGGTCTAGTGGTGGTTTCCTGTAGCTAACTAGCCACAGAGAATAAGGAAACTGGGACTTACCTGGGAGGAGAGCAAAGATTAAACCCTCAAAGAAGAGTCCATTACAGGAAGCCTGACCAAGAGTAACAAGCCTGACAAGGACCAGGAACACTGACCAGGTAATGGGCAAATTGGGCCCCCATTTAGACCTCCAAAATCCAAACTGCTGGAACCAAAAGAGCTGGAAACCAAGGTCACGATGGCCACCAAGATCATCCTGCCCGAGTAAGTTTCTAATCTGGGTAACGCCTGGAGCAACAGCTGAACCAGAGGGAAGAGGCAAAGGAACCCCAATTTAACTAGTCCTGCCAAAAGGCATCCACTGTGAGAAGCCTCATGATCAGGGAATGGAGCAATGCAAGAAGGACACCCAGTTGAGTCGATGTAAAGATGTCCACCTGGAGATAAACAAATGTCTTGCAGAGACCTGAAGAACGAGTTGATGGTCTACTCTGGAAATGGGATAGAAATTAGAGTGATCACGAGAATATTGGACACCACCTCGCATGCAAATCGCATGATTTGGGCAACAAACCACCAGAGAACATTTAGAAAAGAGTCTGGGAATGGAGCCTGGAGGAACACAAAGTGCAGGCTCCCAAACAACTGCCTGTCCAACCATCAAAATAATCTGGGGCTGTTGTAACACTTGATGGAGACAAAGGTGCAGGCAAAGCAGAACAACTAATGGCAGGGAAAGGATAGCCGATTTGGACACCTAAACCAGGCCCAACCAAGTCCAAACCTGGAACGAGACCAATTGGGACCACCTCCAGTCCACCAGGAACCCAACCCCAGAGAGATGGAAAAAACATGATCCCCGACTTGCAGACTAACTGGGAGCCCAAACCAGCCAATCATCAAAATAGGCCAAAACACTATGGCCAATTTTCCATGGGAACGTCTTGGCCTCCTTCAATGAGAGAACCAAGTAAAGGCTACCTGCATTAACCCAGGAAATATCCAAAGAGCCAGATTGAAGCCAAAATGAAGAACCTAGAGGGGTATAGTAAGACTGGCCACAAGAAACTGAAACCTGTCCTCCTAAACCTTGGCTGAAACCTTATATACCAGGAAGTATCCTTGAGGGCCAGGGATGAAAATGGCCAGGGCCATTGAGAAATCTGCCTGCAACACTAGGTGGACCTGAACCAATGTGACCATGCAAAAGTTCCGAGGTCAAGATGGTACAGGAGGGCTGCCAAATCCTGCTTGGGAACTAGGAACCACTTTGACCCCACCAAAGAATGGGGGTAACTTGACTGCAGAGTTAAACCAAGTCATAACAAATCAGAGCCAAGGGAAGGACTCTCAAACAAAGATTCCCCCAAGTCTTGGAGGTAGAGGATTGAATTAATGCCACTGAAGATCCTTAGAGATGACCCAGAAGGACAACAAATGGGATCAGCAACTGGGAAATGGGCCAGGTGACCTCCCACAGCACTGTCAAAGGGGTGAACCATGAAAATTTGAAGGTTTTCAAGGTGAGCAAGGTGATCGGGGGGAAAAGAATAAAACTACAATAGATGGACAATGGAAACCAGTGGAAACGCTTGCTGCTCCAACTCCAAAACCACAAAGAGCAAGGTGAGCCACATCTGGGGCAACCACTAGTGCCAAGCCACAAATACAAAAACATGCTAAAGAACTCAAAGTGGTAACAGCATGTCAAGCCTTGTTGCTACAAAATAAAAATAAACCACAAGACAAAGGCTTCAATTAAAATAAAGGACATTGAATCCAAATGTTGCAGGCTTCAGGATACAGGGTAATACTCGCCTTATGGGTGATAGAGGGAGACAGTACAAATAACCATCCGTATGAAGAAAAGTTGACAAGTCCTCGGACTTGCAAGCAGCAAGTGCAGGCTTGGCGGGTCGATCCATAATGAGCCATAACAAAACCCTACAAGACTTGCCAGGGTGTGAAGGTAAGAATGAAGCAGGTCACCCAGGCACTAGGGATGCTTGCAAAAAGAAACGACACCAAACACAGCCTTCATGATAAACAAGACTACAAAGGTTGTCAGTGTTGTGTGTACAAGCACACAAACCCTAATGTGCCGCTCACTCAAGCCACAGTATGCCCCAACCTTAAAGCCTCACAGTCACCAGTGACCCTTTCACTACTCAGGGCAAGGCACTCAACAGGGAGGCGATCTTTGATCATTTCAAATTTTATACGTAACTAGCTGTACCCGGCAACGCATTGCTTTGGCTCTGCAACATTTGAGCCACAGCAATATTCCCCCGTCTCCCAGTCTTTCCCCACCCCCAAGATTTTTTTAAAACCTGCAAAATATGTCGCAGGTTTTTTGTTTATATCAGACTCCAACTTTCCCGTGTCTATGAGGACACCAGACTGGTCTGTGTTAAATAGGGTTGCACAAATCCAAAGACCACATGGAAGCTACCGAGGCTCAGCCCAGTGAAGATAATACAACAAAGAGGATTACAAATAAGTAGAGTAAAAGAATATACACGTGGCCCTCTACTGACCCACTCGTTTACGGTTCATCTCAGGATAGCACACAGGCTGACGCTGGAGCACAATCATTTTAATACCAAATCTTCATTTTATTTCCTTTGCCTTTTCATCAACTGTGTTTTGAGAAAATACAGCAATTCACAGACTGGTCATAATAAATACCTTTACCACAGTATTTTATAATGATTACACACACACACACACAACCATTATTCTTTTCTCCACAATAAATTTTCCAATTTGTGCTTCTTAGCCTTGTCTCACCTTCGTCACTGGTAATGCTGTAGAATTCAGGGATGAACTCGACACACTGCTGAGCTGTGTCAACTTCAAAGTAGTCAGCCAAGTAATGATCTTCATCAAATAGAGTCAGCTCTTGAGTGATCTTTTCTTCTCTTCTCTGGGATACAGACTTGTTGTCTGGGTCAACAACATCCACTACACCTTTCAATTCACTCTGTAAAAGGCAACCAGGAATATTAAGGTTTAAAAAAATTGAAATTGCCATCTTAATGTATATACATTACACTAATTTAAAGAGAAAAAAAGAAAAAAAAAGCATTAAATGTAATGAAACACCATTTTCTGGGCAAGCCCTGGAGGCTCTCTGGAGCTATCTGACTGATATGCGATATATTAGTCAAGACATCAGTCAATTGGAGTTCAGCCTACCTTGGACCACGAGCCAGAACCTGGCCCCCCTCAGAGAGAGGCAAAGGGAGCAATGGCCTATGCAAACCACCTTGTACTTGGGGCATTCCACATCTACCAATGACTGGGGTTAGTGCCCAGAAAGGTAGGCATAACAAAATAGACTCCACATGGTAAGAATTTATTTTTTTGAAACCGAAGACTGAACAGAGAAACGGAACTCCCCCCAACCTAAAGAAACAAGCAAACGTCACACACCGTCACTTTTCCATGCACCCCTCCCCTTCCCAGGAGAGGGAAGCCCCGGACCCCCCTGCAGTGACTACTCATACCATCAGTTCGGAGGCCGAGCATCAAAATAACGCGAAAACCGATGACCGGAGGAAGGGAGGGAGGGATGGTGCCAGGGAGCCTCTGGGGCTCACCCAGAAAATGGAGTCTCTTTACACTCAACGCTGGTTTTCTGTGGGGGAGCCCATCCGGCTTCCTGGAACTACCTAATTAAAGACAAGTAAAAAGAGGGACTTACCCGAGAGGCGGCCACCACTCGTTCCTCAACGCCAAGTTGAGAACTGGCTGCAACCTGTGATGCAAAGCCACACACGAACGATCAGGGCCAGGATTGTTGACCAAATAACAGGCGGGCAGGACCCTCTTTGACCTCCAAAATCCCTGCTCCCAAATGCCTACTGTATTTATTTATTCCCGTGTTTACACTCGGTTTAATGTATAGTGAGGTCGTATGAACACTTCTTTATACAGAAATGATTGGAACAAACAAATTTCCTTTTATTTTAACTAAATAACCCCTAGAGAAACATTTTTTGCTATTTGTGTCATACCCTAAGAAAAATGTTCATTACTTTAAGCTCCTTTTAAATAAGCTCCTTTTAATTACTTGACATTATTGAAGACTTCTAGTAAAATATAAGCTAGTGCTTTATTTATTTGCCAAGTAAAATTACTATTATAAAAAACTGAAGAAATGGACACAATTTGAATAAGATATAGACTCAAGACTAGTTTAAAGAAACTTGTTAGTCCCAAAATAAGGTAAAAATTGTGAAGTTTATTAGATGATCACAAAACCCAATTAAAAATAATAAGCAAACTTATCAAAGTAGAATATTAAAACATAAAATGGATGGACACACAAGGAAGGATGCACACGACATATTTCAGACTATGTGGCACCAACACTACAGTTCATGTAACATCCTATATATATATTTTATAATTCTCCTAACACATTTTGCAGTTTGCGAGCAACAGGAATTGTTCCTGTCAAGATTAAGGATTTAAATAATGGACAAAGATTAATATACCTCAGCTTAACAAATCTGGGATAAAAAAAAAATAATGCAAATACTGCACATGTACTAAAGATTAGTTAATAAATTGGGCAAGTTTTAGACCAGCAAGAAAATTTGCTTTTAGTATATCTGGCCTAACCTGAAGAGTAGTGAAGACTCCCGTGGTATTATTAGCAAAACCATATTTGTGACCTGCTGTCACTGGGTTGTCCTCTGGTAGTGTTTGTTCATAAATCCAATTAAATTCATCATCTCCCTCCTCCTCCTCCTCGTCATCACCATCACCACCATCATCTGTAGATTCAATAACAATGAAAATGTAAATGACAAGGAAGTAAACATTATTTATCCTAAATGTGACTTTCTTTAGCTTAATGATCAAGGATATAGAAGTGGTTCACTAAACATTAAGAGTCTTGTACAAGGGTACAACCACTTTCTCTAACAAGTTTCCTTTACCTACACTTAATGCAGATACTTTTGTGGTCTATTCCAGTCAGGTAGTCAGCAACAAAAGCTCCATAATTGTGGACAGAACACAGAAGTGGCACTTTCATAATTTAAAAGAGCTACAGGATTTTCATGATGGTTGATTAACTACCATGGGAACAACTGACAGTGTTAGAACCAAATGAGTACAATTAATATTAAATTTAATATTAGTTTTATTACATATACAGTGGCATCTCAAATAATGAATTTAATCCGTTCCGGAGCCGTGCTCGTCATGCGAAATGCTCATCTTTCAAAACAAATTTCCCCATTTAACATTGGAAATAAAAATAAGCCATTCCACCGTCGAAAAACATCAATACGATATTCAATTTTTTAAATAATGGAGCATCCTACCCGACATACACTGAACGAACTGTTAGTTAGTTTAGTTCATTTATTATGCACCCCATGCCCATCTTGTGGGCGGTAGTGGAAAGTGTTACAGAGGCACATAATGGGTTCAGGGACTGAATTCCACAATTCATTTAGCTAAGCAAGTTACAATCTTTATGAGCTAGTTACAAAATTCAGTATAAGTCGTCACAACAATGTGTTCAAGATCGACCAGAAGTACAGTTTCTAAATTAAGCAACTGACATGTGGAGAGCTAGTGTCACAATTGATATGTTTGTCCTGCACACCGCCCCCCCATCCAGTGGGCAGTGGTGGATAGGTTACAATCACTCAGTTACTACCTACAATTAGCAAACTGGCAATATTTAGCCAAAAATGTCTGGTAGCATATCATTTTAATGAAATATTTACACATCTTTGGAATGTTATGACATTTGTCTGTTTTTCAAATTTGTTCAATTTTTTTTCTTCATTTTTTATAACAAAACTTTCGTTCGGCATTTGTCAGGTAGTCTGCTCCACGTTTCTAAAAAAAAAAAAAAAAAAAAAAAAAAAAAAAAAAAAAACCAATTTGAAAAACGGACAAATGTCAAAAGGTTCGTCCAGCGTTTGTCAAGTAGGATGCTCCATTTTGACAATCTTTCTTTGTTTCAAATGTGTTCAACTTGTTTTGTATTTTTCATTTATTTACAGTGGAATATCGAGCGACGCTCTGCTCCAGTTATGAGCATTTCGAGTAATGAGCAAGCCACGCACAGAAAATATGTCTCGACTGACAAGCTTTCACTCGATTAACAAGCCTTCCTGCTGGTTCTCAGACACCTCCGACGACAGTTTTGTAGTTTTTTCGCAAGACGAGTTTTCCACATGACGAGCTTTGTGCCGGAACAGATTAATCGAGGTGCCACTGTATTAATAATGGAGCAGCCTACCTGAAACACTTAACGAACCTTTATGACATTTGTTCTTTTTTCATTATTGTTTTTTATTCTACAAAAGCACGTCAATGCTTTGCAACACCACAGCAGTCACTCTTTTACATCCCAGCATCTTTAAACAAAACAAAACCAAAAATTTATTTGCATCGTCGGAGGCGTCCGAGAACGTGCAAGAAGCAGCAGGAACGCACCATGGGGTTTTCTCGTTATTCAAACAAGTGCTCGCCAATCTAGACTAATTATCGGCAATCGGCACGCATGTTATTCAAAATGCTCGTAAATTAAGGCGCCCATCACTCGAGGTACCACTGTATTAGTTATATGTTTGGCCACAACAGCTTTATGTAGCTTAAAAAAAAAAGTATGTATTAATTATGATTTTACACAACTAAATCTACAAAGGTTTCACAAAATAGAATACAGTAGTTACAATGCAAGACTTGGGTGTTAATTAAAAAATACTTCAAGTAGGTGTTAGCCTTATTAAGAACCACATTCTTGATTATATGGCAACTCTGATTTTATGAATTTCGCTAAGAGACTGTTTTAAACATTAAACTTGCGTTTGCCTATCTTGCAAAGCACTATATACAGTACATTTTTTTAACAAATAAGACCGTCATTTCCAAAGTACAGTCGAGTTCGTTAGCAACTCGAGATTGGGAATTCCGGGTTCATATCGTGGGTATGACAATGTTTTAGCATTCTGTCACACCCACGGAAAGTTTCACACCCAAAAAGTTTCCAATTGCCTAGGAAATCAGGAGTTAGTCAGCTTTGTGGGGGCTGCATCCTGGGAAGGTCAGCAGTTCCACCTTGGTTGGGGACTTTGATATAAGCCTAACATGTATATATACACTGGTTTCCTGTCACTCAAAATGAATTTATTATTATTAAAACATCAATGTTTTAATTATCAATTATATGTATACAAGGCAAGTTTTATGTACATGCTTATTTTGGTTTATTAAAGTTTTCTGGGCTGGCTCTTGGTAACTCTTGGTGCATTGGCTCTGGTACTAAACATGTAAATATGCTCGACACCAAGGCCTAGGCAGATGGCACCAAGGTAGTGGTTTCAACTTTTCAGACCACACTAAAGGCCACATAATCTAAAAAGGGAGGCATCTCTGGTGGCATTTAGTCTTTGACAGTCAGTGCCAGATTAGAAAATCTAGAAATAAAGCCAAAGCAGATAGCTAAAATCCAATATGTAAAGTGACTGGACACCATGCTGTGAAGCAAGCACTAAAGCACAGAACCCCTGCACAGGGACAAAGTCTAAGCATGACTGGTTAATTGAATCATGGCATCACAGTGGAGGTGCTTTGGGGTGGGGAGGGGATGTCAGGCACAATAGTGAGGGTTGCCACCTCTTCCAACCCTGTTTTATCTGTAGTTCCAATATATGCACGAATCCGAATCCAATAGTTGGCTAGTTATGCCTTTTCAGAAAATATTTACTGTACTATCTTTTCAGTCACAATGATTTAAGGAGGTAGAGAATTTTTTTTTTGTGTTATAATGTAGCTTCTATCGGTGGATGAAACATACTATCTTCTCCAAAACTATGTGACAAGACCATGTGAAAAGTTAATTGTACTTGTGGGGTTCAGAGTTGGAGCCTGGCATGCTAGTAGTGACCAGCGTAGACTCCTGGCACTGGTTAGGAAAGCAACGGTGGGGACCATGCTCAGAAATGCACAGCAAATGAAGTGGCCATGGCAAATGTGCTAGGTCCCAGTGATTTAATTTTATCTCCATAATATATTACAAGAAGAAACGCCCAAAATAATTTTATAACTGCCATGCAAAATAAGTAATTAAAACTTACCACCAACCACCTCAATTAGGGGTTTATTTACTCCAGTAGCTCCATGTGGTGTCAACAGAGTAGTCAGCATATCCAAATTGCTAAAGTGCTCGCCTGGAGTTTCCTTTTCGCACACAACCACAAATGCACCACTATCTGCATCAAATGTTGCCGTGTGCTTTTCAAGTTCACTGTCAACCAGCTTACTTGAAAATGTGAGTCTAAGGAGATAAAAGAAAAATTATTCTTTGTATTTAGTAAAGCTTTGACAAATATAAATAATATTAAGCTACACCTGATTTGTAAGATCCCTGTAGTTACAAAAACTCTTCAGACTCAAATCTGATGACATTCTAAAAGATTAAATAGTATATCTTTTTACCATGAAAAGTTTTCAGTAGGTTCACAAAAATATACAAATTTTCTTCAAACAACTGAGAGGGTACATGCAATTTCCAAACATGAGGAAATGGTAATTTCTAATTACAGGTATATTACTTTTGCAAATAATACTTAAAAAATCTAAAGAAATTTAACCAAAAGATGTAATTTAAATACTATACTGCACTGATGTTATCCCCAACACACTTAAGACAGTGGACATTGTTCCACACTTCAAAGGTGTAAAGCAGATGCAAAAATATTATAGACCAATAACATCTCACATCATAAAACTTTTTGAAAAAGTGCTAAGCAGCAAGCTCATAAAATACATGAGAATCCTGTCTTTACATAATCATGGACAACATGGGTTTAAAGCAGGGCACTTGTGCCTTGCTCATAATTGCCAGATAACTATGACATGGCCCTAGATGCCATGGAAGACAAGCAAAATATTTCTATAATACACAGATTTTGTGAAAGATTTAAACAAATATAACCATGATGTTATTGCATGCAAAATATGCATAAAAGTAATTGCTGTACTGGCAAAGTACAGTAAGAACATGGATCTTTAATTACCTAACAGAACCCAGAATAATACAGTAGTCAAGCAAGTAAAATCTGAACCATCCACAGCAAAAAGTTCAGCCCCCAGGATACGGCACTTGTACCAGTGCTTTTTCTCATATCAGATATAGATAGGGACAAACTATAGTACTGTATCATCCTTCACAGATGATACTAGGAATTTCATGAGAGTAGAGAATATAGAGGACACAGCAAACTTACAAACTTATGTAAATCAGTCTTCCAATGAGTCACAGAAAACATGTTAAATGAAGGAAAGTTTCAGCTCCTGCACTAAGGTGAAAGCTACTGTAAAAATGGACACCATATAATATGCAGTGAAATCACAATAAAAAGCTATATAAATTTGGGAGTAATCATATTAGAAGACCTTACTTTCAAAGAAAATAAAATGGCTTTTGACTACTAGAAATTGATTACTAAGAAAAAGATATAAAAAGATATATCGTGGCTGGTTACCACGAACCTTTCAAACAGATGCCAGAACAATTATGGCATTTTAAGACTAGATATTAACTGCTCCATTCAAAATCGGAGAAGTTGCTAGTCTGGAGAATGTGCCAAGATCTTTTACTGCCTAAATTCATTCAATAAAACATCTAAATTATTGGGAACATTTTATGTTTCTAAATCTGTATTTTGAAGAGCACAGGTGAGAGAAATGCATAATAATCTACACTTTGAAAACTTTAGAAAGACTGGTTCCAAATTTGCACATTGAAAATCACTCGCAAGATAACGAGGCATGGCAAAAAGTGTCAAATAGCCCCATTGAAATAGCAGAGGTGCAATAGGTATGAAAGAGACCATTCTATCAACATTAAATGTTGAAGAATTTAATGATGATGAATGGTCTCCCTTTAAATGCAAGGGGTATAACTAACCAACCTCTCGTGGCATTCGAAAATGACCTTGCTAAACACCTCTCAAGGACATCTGATTAATCAGGCCGTGATTCATTCAAAATGCTGCAAGCAGCCAGGTGACAAAACCACCAACCAAGAGATCCGAGACCAGATTCATGAAGCAGTTATGCAAGTACTTACGAAAGTACATCTTTCCTCAATCTTTGACGGCTTTGGTTACATTTATTAAACAGTTTACAAGAATTAAAACTTCCCAATCAACTTATTGTTATAAACAGCCTCCTGGTGCTTTAGAGCTCATTAACTGTTTTAATAAGTGTAAACAAAGCCGCCAAAGATCGAGAAGATGTACAGGTTCGTAACCGCTTGCATAACTGCTTCGTGAATCTGGCCCCTGGTCAGAGACTGGGCCCCGAGGGAAACAGATTCCCAGAACAAACAGGTAGGTGGGCCATCCCCCACCCCCATTTTGCATTTCACCCTTACCATATATTTGAAATACATAACAAAATAACTATAGTACTACAGTACTCTAGTACGGTGCATCAGAGTGAAGTAGACATTTCAAAAGGATGCACAGTAATTTGTTAAGTTTATCTATTGGTAGGAAAATAGAATCTAATTCAAGAACTCATCGGGCAGAATAGAATCCCTCCTTGCCCTTGCCAAATTAAGGAAACAAAATTTTTATCCAAACTCAAATTATACAATGTACCATAATGGCAATAAGAAAATTAACGAAAAGAATTTTATATTTTATTAGAAACTACAATGATCTGATTATCTTCTCTTTGCTCTGAAATGTCATTTTGATTATACAGTAGCTGTAAAAGTTTTGAACAATACTGAACATGATATATAACACCTACTGTATACACATAATGCTTGCAAGATAGTTTATGTAAATGATTCCATAGAAAATCAATGACTAGGAAACTGCAATTTTATAAATGAAAAGAGGAAGCATTATAATTAGCCCTAAAACTGAACAAGTTAACATCTACAGCATTCATAAAACAACGTTAAATTAGGTATAAAGATTAGCACCAGTATATTATTGCAAAAATTTAGTGGTTACACGGCAGTTGACATTCAGTACAGTATACTGTACTTGATAAACTATTTGCAACACACTGTTCTTCACGTTTCCTATACATTTTCTCCATTTTCTTCTCCGTAATATTTTTATGTCAATAACAGCCAAGTATATACCTTACGTCACGTACACGTATTTTATATATGTTCATATACAGGTATAGAAAGTCACAATTTATCCTTCCCCGAAAAAACTGAAAATCTCAAAGACTATAATGGCCAAACAACATGAGAAAATGGAGAAATGACGACGTTTTGGTCCATCTTTGACCATTATTCTTTTATAACCTCGAAGATTATAAAAATATATTCATATTCACTTACATATTTTAACCATATTTTGTTAAAGGCATTAATGTAAATTTCATAAACTCTTCCTAAAACTTAATTAAATTTAACACATGCAGCTCATTAGTAACAATAATCCAAATCTCCAGACTAACCGCAAATAATATGGCGACGAGTAAAATGTGAAAGACTTCCCATCGATGTCTATTTCTGCATCAGAAATTCGGGAGTATGGAGCAAAGATTTTCACAGTTAGATGACTATCATCTTGAGTAGCTTCAAATTTTGGGGTCAACATTACTGCGTAGTAGGTTAGATGTACTGCAATCTGCATTGATAAAATAACAATCATACACTCTGCATTGTTATTTTAAATTATACAGTTATCTTAAAAATAGTCCACTAATGAAAGTCTGGTGGAAAAAGAAATTAGAATGACATACTACTGTACACAAAAATATTAGAACAAGATTCTTTGAGTGCACCACCTTAGTTCACCTTCTTTCAACGATAATATTGGATGCTTTTTTCCATTTACATCACATGAAAAATGGTTTAAAAAATAGGATATATTTTATATTTATTCTTACAAATCTAATTACAGTTTCTGATGACGTTTCAGAGAATGCTCAGTTATCTATTAGGATTAGTTTAGCCCTTTAACTTCACTTTTTTGTTTTTTCCCTGAAAAATAATAATAAACTATTATTATTATTAATATTATTATTATTATTATTGTTTTGTCAGGGAAAGGAAGCCTGTGTGCATGTGTGTACTTAAGGCTTGCATCGAGGTCTCCAAGGTCAAACTATTGACCCATCCCAGGATGCACCCCCACAACAGTTGCCCAACTCCTGGGTACCTATTTACTGCTATTGCTAGATGAACAGAAGTATTAGGTGAAAGGAAATTTATTCAATATGGGAAACAAACCTTGGATCTTAATTGTGAGAGAATTAAGCCAGCTGTACTGTGAGACCATCTATTGAGAGAATAATGTAAATGCTTTGATATTTAACAATTTTCTCCCAAAGAGCCAATTATGGCTTGGAGATACTGTATTTAGATGCAAGGTAACCCTAGAGTAGTATTTTTTCCTATCTACCAGCAAGATCACCACACAAATACTTTAATAATTTCATTTTGTTGGGGAACAGGCACGCTGTGTATGTATATGCATTAGGCCGATATTGAAGTTTCCCCCCCCAAATCGAATTACTGACCCTCACCAAGATGCAACTCCACAACAGTTGCCCAACTTCTGGGTGCGAATATACTGTTAGGTGAAAGGAAATGTGCCAAACCATTTCTGCCCCACCCGAAATTCAGATTTAGGATTCCTTACCGAGAGTTAAGACCGAACCCAACTGTACTACCGAGATCAAGGATACAAACTTACTTCAGTAAGTGATACGCTGAATAAAAAAAAAAGTTATCGTCAAGTATTGTATTCAGAAATTGGTAAAAGTATCCTAGCAGGATTTAAAAAAAAAAAATGCTGTCACATTCTTTAAACTTGAAAAGCACAGCTGGTAATTTTGTAAATGTAGTGATTACAAGACCATGCATACCCCAAGTACATATACGATACATTTTGGTCTGTTAACATTTCATCCATTTATCTGGCTGGAAATATCATCAGGGTAAATGGGGGTCATTGACAAGCCTCCAGCTTCTTGTCCTCATAAAGACCACTGGAATGTTAGTGGCTCTCGGGGAAATTCAGATAAACAAGTGTGGGATCCGTGTACGACTTTGCTTTATTTTTTTGAGTTCTACAAAGAACACCTTACCTAATTTCACTCACTTAAAAACAGAACATCACGCCATGTCTCAAAATTAAGGATAATTCACGCTTTCCTAAACTCGGGTACAGTAATTCTTGAATCAATCTCAAGAATTTTAAGTGTCCCCTCAGGTCGAGTCGTGCTCAAGACAGAATCAAGCTTAACATACAACGCGCAGCAATACCAACTTAAATACAACACACTCACGAAGTTAACCACAGAGTTAAAAATAACCTCTGCAATACAAGTTAACAGACCTAATTATCAGCGGCCACCACCTGCAGCAGGTGAACACTACCTGAGCACAGTGTGCCACAGGACACCAATGTTGACTTCTGGGGTTGGTTCTCGCACATCCGGATTGACCGTCGCCGCTCGTGGCCTGTTGGGTGGTAGCGTTTCTACAAGATAACATTTGTAAATAAATATAAAATTGATTAATGCTGAAAAATATCAATTGTCACACTAGCTCTCCACATGTCAATTGCTTAATTTAGAAACTGTACTTGTGGTTGATCTCGAACCCATTGTTGATGTGACGACTTATACTGAATTTTGTAACTAGCTCATCAAGTTTGTAACTTGCTTAGCTAAATGAATTGTGGGGTTCAGTCCCTGAACCCATTATGTGCCTCTGTTACCCTTTCCACTACCGCCCACAGCATGGGTATGGGGTCCATAATAAATGAACTAAACTAACTAATGCTGAAGTAAATTGTTACATATTTTAGTTTATATACTAGAAGGAGTAATTTTAATCAGGAGAAAGCACAAAGGCATTACGATTATATAGCCCTTAGAACTCAGAAGGGATATGAGGATAAGGATTTAGGATTGAAATAATAATAATAATTATTATTATTTCCTCCCAAAAAGCCAATTATAGCTTGGGAAAATTTAGATGTAAGGTAACCCTAGAGGAGCATTTTCTCTTATCTACCAGCAAGGTCACCGCGCGAATACTTTAATAATTAATTTTGTTGGGTAACAGGCACGCTGTTAAATGGTACACCAAACAGCTTTGTTGAAGCTTTGGACTTCTTTTACTTTTGAACAGGAGATGGCTTGGACAATTGTTTAACTCATCAGGGAGTGAGTTCCAAAGACTGGGCCCTTTTATTTGCACAGATGTAGTCTGACTCTGGGGATATAAAAGAGATATTTATTTCTGGAGTGGTGTTCATGGGGTTCTATTACATCAATTAATGAAAGGTTTCAGTTCAAGATTATTTATATATAGAAGACTTCTTACATACTTATAAAGCACATATAGCGTTTCGGGTAGGTCCTTATTCCTAATTTTCCCTGAAATACGATCAGCCAAATCGTTTAACAACCAGGTACCCATTAATTGCTGGGTGAACAGAGGCCGCAGTTATGGATTGGAGCAGAGTCAATCCTCCCTGGCCAGGATACGAACCAAAGCCAAAGCGCTCGCGAGGCGCGAGGCGAGTATCTTACCACTGCGCTACGGGGACTTAATAACTACTAACATTGTTACTGTTAATAATTACTGCAGTGTTGCTAGAACTAGACTCCTTACTGTAATAGTCTAGCTATGGCATTAAGTATCAACCTTTTATTGTTTTCATTTGTTATTTTTCCTTGAACTTTCTCAATTTTGTTAGCTTTTGTTTTAGTGTTAAGTGTTTACCCCTTCACACCTTTACTTAATTCTTTTATCTGAACTACCCTGTGGTATCAGATTCTGTTACATGAAAGAAGGCAATTCTTTATTTACTCTAAAATGGAGTCTGAGATATTAAGTGCTTGAAGCTTTGACAGTATTGTGAGTTGTCATACACGGTAAAGACACCTGCAGTGTCCGTCACAACACAGCTGGTCAGTGTCCATGACAACACAGCTGGCCAGTGTCCATGACAACACAGCTGGTCAGTGTCCACAACAACACAGCTGGTCGTGGATTCATCCAGTGTCGGGTACAGAACGAGTCTCCTGAAACAACCCGTTCTCGCACTTTCTTACAGTCAATATTGACTTATTTAATACGTGCATATGTGACATACTAGTTTACCTTGAAAAGCTTCATAGAAAACACCGACCTTACCTAACCTTCTTAATATGTTAAGATAAGCATCTTATTGCTTCGTAATTACAATTATTACTTAACCTATTATAGGTATAGGTTAAGTAATAATTGTAATTACGAAGCAATAAGATGCTTATCTTAACATACTAAGAAGGTTAGGTAAGGTCGGTGTTTTCTATGAAGCTTTTCAAGGTAAACTAGTATGTTTAGTATATCACATATGCACGTATTTAATAAGTCAATATTGACTATACGACAGTGCGAGAACGGGTTGCCTGAAATCATACTGGTAACCATAGAGTGAACGATGACTATCGGAGACTGGTGTTGTTAGTTGTGAGATTATTGTATCAAGAATTTTGAAAGTAATTGACACTGATCTGTAGCTGCTGACTACTGTACGGTTCTTCCTTTTGTGGGACTGAAACTACTATAGCCTCTCGCTCCTCTCTCTCTCTCTCTCTCTCTCTCTCTCTCTCTCTCTCTCTCTCTCTCTCTCTCTCTCTCTCTCTCTCTCTCTCTCTCTCTCTCTCTCTCTCTCTCTCTCTCTTCCCCGTCTCGCGAGCTGGCGTCGGCAACATGCGATTTAAAGACTCGCAAAATATAAATCCGATGACGGTCTGAGCGACTTGATACAGGAATGTGAGATTCAGCGATTGATCCATCGAGGGAAGACTGTCTGGAGATGCGTCCACTGGCCACACGTCCTTCCCGTCCACCACCCGTCACCCGTCATAAGCAGCCTTGCCATCACCTGCCCGTCATATCGCCCACCCGACTCAATAAAGCCAGTTCTTCCTTTTCTAGATATAATTTCTGAAAGGGACTATGGAGAAAGATTTCTCATCATCTTGGGAAATACGATCACCTCTTAATAATCAAGAGACGCAGGTCGCGGGCGGCTCCGACCCAATCTTTACCTCTACCACCGTGAGCTTTCTTGTCAAGAAGATTAATTACTAGTCGGAAGGAAGGTTGAGCTAGATGAAGAGGTCACGAGGCGCGGCTGGAAGACTGTAGTCTTCCCATTGCCTGCGGAGAGCATGGTCTCGGGGGAGCACAGCGGAGACGTGGTTCTGGACGGAGGGATTTGTCGTCTCCTCTGGCCGTGGGGCTGATGGAAGGGTTCGAGGACCATTGCCAGCCTCGCGGCTCATAGTAGGGACTACCAGGTGGATAGTAGGTGAGGTGGTGGGTGTGACAGGACGAGAGGATGCAGCGGTTCTGACAGAAATGAGGAATATTGGGTTTTGACAAGAGGCATGGACGTTGATGGTGAGCTACGGCAGAAGAGGCGACAGACAGGAATGAAGGGAAGAGGTCAAATAGATACCTATCAATCCACTGATAGACGCACATAAAGTAGAAGAAACACAACATTATTGCTGTCTAGGAAACATCAGTTACTAGAAACTTCTTTGCCAAAATGACAATTACAAAAAAAATAGTAATTTTTACTAAAAATTACGTTTCACGTTTTTACTAAACTCTACGTTTCACTATTACTAAAAAAAATAGTAATAGTGAAACGAAGTAAATGCAGCGTATGATCACGTAACAGAAGATAGAGTGGTGGACAAAGCAGTGAGCAACAATGCCACCTGGAGGAGGCTATAGACCCCGGTGAACCTGTGAGAGTTCCACCCAGTGTGATAGCCTCGTGACGCGCACAAAACCTGCAGCAAAACATATCTGGACGCGGGAAAGCAAAGTGGTCGGGAGGTGTAGCGTTCTGGCGAGCTCCGTTTTAATACGTTTTCATGAGATGAGCAGAATCCAATACCCATTTGGAGCGGCAATATCCCCAAGCTGGTACCAGCGTTTATTATAATGCAACACCAGAGGCCGCGCGCTGTCTCCTCTTCCCCGCGTTATTCCTAACGTGACCTCCACTTACTAAGTGGGCAGGTGAATGGTAACTCGTGACCTGATGACTCCGTTAGTGGTTCGTAGCCAGATGACTCCGTTAGTAGTTCGTAGCCAGATGACTCCGTTAGTGGTACGTAGCCAGATGATTCCGTTAGTGGTTCGTGACCAGATGACTGGTTAGTGGTTCGTGGCCAGATGACTCCGTTAGTGGTTCGTGGCCAGATGACTCCGTTAGTGGTTCGTAGCCAGATGACTCCGTTAGTGGTTCGTAGCCAGATGACTCCGTTGATGACAAAGCACACATGCATATGCTTTGATCAAGTACAAGTTGTTGATCATGTTCATGTGCTTTGATCATGCATATAAATCATGCGAAGATGTCTTCAGTATGTTCAAGGGGGGCAGTGTGGTGGCTCTAAGTTTGTCTGTGTAATCTGTCTATCAAACTATGAGAGTTTGAGATAATATGTCGCCACTATTATTGTCAACACATCTTCCCACATGTCTGGAAGACAATGATAAATTTCCTCGTAATGTCGCACCTATCCCTTCATCTCTGTGGTTTCATTATTGCCCAGTCAGTCCTCCTAAAGTTTCCTAATGTCAAGAAAACGGTAAATTTAAAGTGGTCTCTCCTAACCTACCAGAGGACCCAAAACAGAAAAGGGGACAGTATGTCACTTTCGCCAGCCGCTTCCATTTTCTAGTACGGCAATTTTTGTATCTTGTGTCACGCATACGAGCGAAAAGCGACGGTCTTTGAAGTGGGCCAAGTTTGTATTACTAACCCAGTGTTGGTCGTGAATGAGCTGGATTCGTATTCCCGAGTAAGGGTTTTCATCTCCCTCCCGGGTCTGAAGATCTGTACAGTAATGCCTTTACTACAATACCTCGCTTGTAGCCGGAACCTGGAAATAACTTTCTCCCTCTTTTTCCATCAGAGGTTCCTCTCAAGTCTTACGCTGGGGATACTGCTACGAAAGAGTACTCTTTAATACTATGGAGCTGCCTCAAGTTGTATTCACTTTCCTCTTTGACACAGAAGACATGTTATGAGGAGCGGACTGTGTGGTGAAGATACAAGTATATGATGAAGAGACAGACAGACAGACAGACAGACAGACAGACAGACAGACAGACAGACAGACAGACAGACAGACAGACAGACAGACAGACAGACAGGATTATGGGCTCACCATAGCCCGTGCTACATGCACTTTTCGTTCTGAGTTGCTGAATCTAACACAACAAAACAACAACAGAGACAGGAGTTAGTAGTGCACCTTGGGAGAGTGAGGGTGTGAGTGCACAGGACCTGGTGAGTACACAGGACCTGGTGAGTATACAGGACCTGGTGAGTACACAGGACCTGGTGAGTATACAGGACCTGGTGAGTGGCACCTGGCGAGTGCCACCTGGTGAATGCCAAGTTAGTAGTTAGTAAAAGTTTATTGATTTACAGTTGAGAGGCGG